ACATATCGATTGTGGGAGAGAGTATGAGCGTGCAGCGTTTAAAGCGTGGAAGTACTGACCTTACTTTGAGTTTGATTCCATAAAAAGTGACAAAAACATTAGCGTCCATCGTGCGTGGGAAGAAAACTTCTTTTTACAGCAAAAAAACCCCTAAACTTCCAAGCAAGCACTGAGTGCGCTGCGACGTAATGGGAAACTCACAGAGAAACTCGCGGATTCTTCAACTGACCACGGCACACCTGCACCAGGGTAAACCTCCGCCTACCCAACTCCTGCTTTACAGGTGAAAATAGAGCAACAGGACCGCTGAGTCTTTGACTTTATTTATTTTCTGCTGTGTTTTACTTGCATCTATTTGAAAGACTGAGTGTAAACACAAAAAATATTTTATTTTATGTGCTGGAATGTGCAGAAAATAGGTTTAAATGTTAACTAATTTATTCAAGTCAGAGAATGTTGCATATAATAAAATTTTTGCTTGATGCATAAAGTTAAAAGATTAAAACTGATAAAACAAGTTAAAAAAAACAGACTTTTCCATTTGATTACATTTTGTATGATGATTTATGCAGAAAAAGTAGAATTGGGCTGAAAGATCTATCGCTTTATCACCTATTCAGGTTGTAAATCGTGTTTTTAAAAAGTAACTAAGTAATTAATTACTTTTGGAAATAAGTAATCAGTAAAGTAATGGGATTACTTTTTTTGGGAAGTAATCAGTAATTAGTTACTGATTACTTTTTTCAAGTAACTTGACCAACACTGGCTACAACTACCCAAGCTGTTTCAGTTTGCATGGTCTGACGTGTCCCCGAAAATAAAACAGTTTGCTGCAAGGGCCATTTAGCTCAGGCTTTGAGTCAGACTGAGGTCAGGTCGCGTCACAGCCACAAACGAACTGCTCCTGAAATAGCTTAAGACCAGACTGAGACCGTTTCCTCTAAAGGGTTTCTGTGCTGTTGTTTTGCTCTATATCCAAGTTTCTTTACACCTCTCCAGACCACCGCTTAATTTTCAGTTTTAATTTAGATATTTTTCTGTATATGAACTTGTGCACCTGACATCCCTCTCTCTTGAAGCAGTGAGCATGACACATTATTTAACCTTATTGATGCCAATTTAGAAACTTTGTAACTAAATTTAGCACTTTTTCATACCCCTGTTAAATGCTTTTTCCTCTAAAAATGCACCTAGCAGTTTACTGTGGTGTCACAAGCAGCTGCTCTTATGAACGTGAGCTTGATGGAGCCCTGTCCATCCATTTGGACTTTCCAACCAATGTCTTAGGTACCCAGTACTAATGGCTGTCTTAATTCTTGATGGCACAGATTCACCAAGGTGCTGGAAACATTCCTTTTTGGACCTTATTGATATGACAGCATCACACAGTTGCTGCAGATTCATTGGCTGCACATCCATGATGAGAATCCCCGTTCCCCTATCCCAAACGTGCTCTATTGAATTTTCTGTTGCCCTGATCACTGTGGAGACCATTTGAGTACAGTGACCTCATTGTCATGTTCAAGAAACCAGTCTGAGATGTTCTGAGCTTTGTGACATGGTGTGTTATCCTACTGGAATCAGCCATCAGAAGATGTGGTCAGAAAAGGATAGACATGGTAAGCAACAATACAACAAGACCCTTTGGTGGTGTTTAAGCTCTGCAAAGGGTTGTCGTGATGTTTACGCCAGCTTTACAATCTTAGTGTCAAAGCAGAAACTGACACTCATCAAACCAGGCAACGTTTTTCAAGTCTGTCACATGTAGCTGTAATGCTCAGTGTTGTGTCCTCTCTGACTGCAGAGAAACCAGAGACATCCAGACTGCAACTGAAGCTCTGGAGCTTTAAAAAAAAGACAGGTATTTGGGGTGCCCTTGTTTTAGTAGTACTTAAATACTGTCTGTATTATATTTTAGTAACCCAAGAAAGAATATGCATAAAAACAATGGCTGATTTATTATTGTTGTTTACTTTCTTTTTAATCAAAGTTGAATGTCTCTGTAGATTTGGACACAAAATTTTTTGAGGGACGGGTTTTGTAATTCTGATGTGACATTTAGAAAACATGACACTTCACAGTGAAAATGTCAGAGAAAACTGTTACCTTTGTTTGCTAAAGACAAAAAACAAAGGTCAGTGCATGAGCGCTTGTCACAGTGTCACGTCAGCTGTTGTTTGGAATGAAAGTATGAAGGTCAGATATTGTATGCAAACATGCCAGCACTCTCTCTCTCACACACACACACACACACACACACACACACACACACACACACACACACACACACAAATCAAAGTTAAAGTGGAAGTTGACCTGCTAAGCATACTAGAAAATCTATTAAGATTTTGTTTTAAGAGAGATGAAGAGTTATCAATGTCTTAGTCAAAAAAGCTAAAACATGTGGCTTCGAATCAAATCTACTTGAGGACATAACACACTTTATATAACTTGTCTCATTCACACAATCACCTTTTTCTACACCTAAGTGCTTTCTAGCTAACATTCATACTCCGATGTGGAGTGTGACTTGGGGTTCAGCTTCTTGCCCAAGGATTCTTTGGCATGGAGACTGAAGCAGCCAGCGATTAAACCACCAACCTTCCAGTTATTGAATGACCTGCTCTACCTCCTGAGCTACAGCCACCCTATAGAAGCAAACAGCCAACATATACAAGAAACCCCTGCAACATGCTGAAGCAGGGCTTCAGAGACTATGCTACAAATTGTAATTGTAATTGTGCAAAATTGCCTACCAAAAGTTCTTTCTACTAAAGTTAGAAACACTAGCTTCTGATGCTAAGCGTGTACTCGCATTCACCGGAGAAAAATACTTATTTATTGGAAACAATTACTGACAAAGCTCATTTTTCTTCTGATGTCGTTCAAACAGATCCGAACTTGTCCAAATATTTCATAAAAATCCAACAATTTACAGTAACACTCATTTTATTTTTCAAATGACTTTTTATAAATGCAAGTGTGTCTGACAGTATAAGGGGCTCAAATACGTAAGCTGTGTAAATTCTCTGTTTCTGGGCAGACTCTTGTCTCCTCCAGCCTTTTAACATTCCTGTAAAAGACCCGTAAAAGCTGCAACCTCGGCTTTATGGTTATTACCAGCTCTCTCTCTCTTTCTGTGCACTAACTGTGTCAGTCTCTTTTTATGGTGATTTGTGTTTAAAGTACAGGGGTGGTGCCTGATAGTCTACATTAGTGTACATTAGTGGACATTGCAGGCAACATTTAAAGCAAGAGAAGTGAGCATAAATAGAGCCAATGACCGTCTTATAAATATTATCTTCCATTTGCACAGAACAGTCAGACCTCTCTGTTGGTCTGTTCCAACATCAAACCTGCTGAACATTTTTGAGTGGACAGCCTGTGGTTACAGTGATTTATAGGTTAATACTGGTTTTAGTGTAATGTGCAATTTTCCTGTGGCTCTGCCTCGTCTGTTCTAAGCCCCTCCCATCATTCAAAAACACCTCTGCCAGGTAAGAGGAATCATCTTATGCCACTGCTCCTTTACATCTTACCTCCAACAGCAAATCTCACCTGATTTGATCTGACACCGCCTGTGATTGGCCAAAGCCTCCTGATGGGGCCCAGAGGAGGTGCAGGAGTCTTGATTTGCTTACCTGAGCTTTAATGAACTTAAGTTAGATTAATTTTGTCGTGTTTGTGCAGTGCCACTGTTTGTTTGGTGTGTGTGCTAAGGCTAGCTAAGCTCAGGAGTGTTAAAGTACTTCTTAAAGCCCTCCTCCAGTAGTTATTCCTCCAATCTGACCATTTCACCTGCTCTGCAAATACTATAAATACTAGTCCTTTAAAGCAGTTTATACAATTTATATCAATTGCAACAGTTAAACATAACGTGACAGGGCTTTTGGCTTTATGTAATACTCAAGAACCGTAGTACAGAACCCTGAGAGGTCCCATAATGTTTACCATTTGTAAACAAGAGTCTTTGTTCACTGATGTGAATCATTTTAAGATGTTTTATATGTTAGTCAAAGGCTGTTGGGTAATACTGTGGGTTTTCTTGGGCTCTTTGCTGATCAGCAAATGCCTTTTTGCCAGTCATGCGTCAGTACTGGCTGTCTCAGCATCACTGCATGAGTACTGACAACGAATGAAAATTTCATTCCCGAACAGAGATGTTGTCTCATGACTGGTAATCTGATGTGTGTCTTCTGAGAATAGCATTAGAGCTATGCCAAAGGCAACTTAAAAAAGAAAGGTTTTAAACAATATGCTTTTTCTTCTTTTTTTGATCAATCTCAACATCTTTGCTTCTCCAAACACAGAAATAAGCACATAAAACAGGCTCGGATGCAATATGTCAGACCTAAATCTCTGCAGAGAGGATGACAAAATGCAAACGTGACCTTTTTCACCTCCTGTAATAAATGTGCCAATGCGACACTGACCAGCCCGAGCTAACAGCCTCCTCTAACTCTGTAATGACCCTGTTTGGGTCATCCTGCTGCAAACAGCAAGGAGCGAGAAAGGGACAAAAGAAACGTTGTCACAGTGTTATTTTCCTAAGTAAACAAAAGAATGCCTTTTGCTTCTCTCTCACCTTCTTTCTCTTCCTGAAAAGTTTTCTTAACATTTTGATTACTAGGAAAAGCAAATGAGCAGCTGACCCCTTAATGCTTAGCTGCTCGTTCGTTGTCAAGATATATGTGTGTAATTTGATGGTGTTTAGCTGGTCTGAACATTTTGGGTACTGGTACCCAACCACAGAAGATCCTTCCATCCATTTTCTTCCACCTATCCTTTTCAGGTTTGTGGGATTAGTGAAGATAAAACACAAATTCAGCACGCTTTAAATGCATGGAAATGTTAAAAAGAAGGTCAGGTGCTCAGTGCAGTTTTTTTAAAGTGACCTTTTTTTTCACACAATGACCACTTTGTGTGGAATCTGTTTGTAAAAGGCTTTGAAGTTGTCTCTGGGGCTCAATAAAACATCTGTGTTTCTCTTTCCCCGCCAGGTAACCACATGCTGTTGAGAGTTCTGCCCTCAGTCTACCCCAAACAACCAGACACCATTCACCACCACCTAGGCAACCTCACCGCCATGATGCCACAGCTGGAATCCACCGAGCAACAACACCTGATCAGGCTTATTCAAATGGTTGCCGAGCAACATCCACTTGTGAGTTTTTGTGCTGACGAATTAACAATTTACTGTGTTTGAAACCAACTATTCAAACTATCCACTTTCATTTGGATTATTTGGATTATTTTTTCTGTTAAGTTATGGCTGCGCATACCACTATTACTTCACCGCCAATTTATATTAAAATTTCAGTCATTGTGTCACCGCTTTGCAGCCAAAACGGTGAAAATTACAATAATAATACATATAAAATGTTATGACAGACTTCTAAAATGTTTCTATTTTCTTGTTTTTACGACAGGTGGCATTATAAATTTGTTCAGCGCTCTACATCATTTAAATGCCTCCCACCACATAGTTCAGACCGTGTAGAAACCTCAGTTGTGTGCTTGGTGAGGCTTATTTAAGTGCCTGTGTCATTTTTATAATGTGTTTTGGGTTTCTTGAAGCTTTGCCGGTCTCTTCCTTCAGTGCCCTTGATCTGACTGTTTCAGGAATCCATAGTCAAGTGACACCTAAACATAGTATATACATGTTATATCTAGTATTAATAAAAACTAAAACGAGGTAAATGCATTACAGTCAGAACTGATGGCCCATGTGAAAGTAATCCAGTATCTAGAAACAAAAACACTCGTGAAGAAGTTGCGAAATCCAGCATGTCTGTGATTATGTCGTTTCTATCTGTGACTGAAATGTATGCAAATGAATGCATGTGGAAAATGCATTGGAGAAAAAAAAAGAGAAAGCACTGGGAGAATTGGGACTTTGCATGTGGTGTGCAGGAATTCCCTTAATCCTGGATATTTTGGACCAGAGCTGCTGATGTTCAACGTGAAGGAGGGGGTGGGCGGGGAAGTACCACATACCAAGCAGAGCACATGGTGGTAAAACGCAGCCTCAGTTGAGAAACAAAAGCAGCCATCTGGAGTTATTCTAATGTGAACCCCCCACACAGGCACACAGGAAAATATTGTAGCTGTGTTCGTCACAGCAGTTACCAAATGTTTGGCATCTTGAGATTCACTTTTCGTAAGTGATGCGGCATTAAAATGGCACTCATGTGGAACTTTTGAACTGCATAACCTATTTTTCATTTGTCAGACAGAATTGTTAACAGGACATATATGGCTTGATAATCTTTCACATCAACTAAAAGAGCTGGCAATGGTGGATATTGTTAGACCATTCCAGTCTAGTGCAGTCTACTATGACCCTTACAGATTATGAGCAGGAGCTTTTTATTCACTCAGTTTTTCCAGACATCCCTACAGCCAAGCTTTTGTTTATTATTAGTCACGAGTATCTTCATCTCACTCCGAGGTCACTCCTCTCACCTACGGCCTTCACTGGAAAGATCAGAGCTCCTTTTGGTAGTTGTTATTTGTCATGAATAATGCTCTGTTTTTATTTTATTTTATTTCCCCCTCTCTAATTCTCTGCTTCTTTCTTTTTTTTCCTCATCCATGCAGATGTTGAGCCCTCAGGTTCCAACGTTGGTCGGTTACCTAGGGAACCAGTCTCTCACCGAGGCTCTTTTAGGAGCACTTGTCGATGTGTCTCAAGCAAGTCCTTCCTCGCTGGTCAGCTTTCTTTCACCGCTCAGGATCTTGGGACAGCAGTGCCCTGCTTTCCTGGCTCATGTGACCAAAATCCACGGTGCTGTGGGCATTATCAGTGAGGTAAAAAACAAACCAAAACAAAACACACACACTCAAAAAAGAGCCTTACCTCATTTCAAATTTTGGTGATCTCACCTTCAAGTTCAACTTCTGGTACACCTCTGGGCTGCTCCAGTTGCAGCTATTTTTAGATTGCTTCCCGGAGATGATCTTTTGACCACTGGAGGTCAAAGTAGATGATTTGTGTATGATCTGCAGCTCTCTGGAAGCTCAGGAGTATGCTCTCTTTTTTTCATAAGCAGCAGCACACTGAAAATGTGGCAGCTTTTTGGCCACTCTAGCATAACACACTAAACCTGCCCTCCACACCAGAGTTACCATTTTTTGACTATCTTCTACAAAATGAAACTCAAGTTGAAGAGGCTTAACTGTAAAGGCTTTTACACACCGGATATGATTAGACCATCACTTTGCATCATTGTGTGAATGGAATAAGTGGATACATTTTAAACACTTTAACTGCATGACATAAATTCATATTTACTGTTCGTTCAAGCATATTACCTCAATTAACCCAACTGAGGATATAAAGAGGAGCAAGTCTGAAGGAAATAATAGAAACAAGTAGAGGTCATTGAAACACACACTTACTGTAAACAGGCAGGAGTGATTATTTTAATGAGTAGGAAATAACGGGCACTCATATGACTTGTTCTCTCATGCTCTGCCAAGTATAAAACACACACAGACCGGATAGGCCGGGCAGATCCGGAGGTTTGGACGGCTGTCTGACACCTGCATACATCAGTGTTCGGTGGAACTGTCTTTCCCAACACGTGCCGAAAGCCCTTAGGGCTTAGAAAGGTCAGAGTCTGGTATTCTGGCAGGTGAAGATTTAATTTGAAGTAACAATGAAGGAGCAATGTTCTAAGCCTTACCCTATTGTTGCAAACATAACACAATTTTAGGGAACATTAACCTCAGAAAACAGTTGGTCCTTTGTGTGCTGAAAAGGGAAAATCGGCTATACTGGAAAATGTATTTTGAAATCTTAGCTCAGTATGTGTGAAATTTTGTTTTTAAAATTGCCTACCTCACCATATCCTGCTGTTCACAAAAATTATCAGCAGATTTGGTGACAAAAGACAGACCTTGCAAAGTCTAACCCCCACCATGAACAAGTCTGAGTTATTGTATCAATGTGAATCAAGCTGTCAATTTGGTTAAAAGGAAGACGACCACCTGAGTTTTTCAGTTCAAAGGTAGCTGTCCCTGACTCCCATGTAGTTTCACAGAGGCATATAAACCATGAGGGACCAGTAAAATTCAGAGCCTTAACTCAGGGCTCAACTCATCAACCCAAGGGGCCGACCGCAAGGGAGTTTGTTAGGCACCTTGGCAACCTCAGCAACAGCAATGAGCAAGTCATCTCCTTTTCCCAAGACCCCCTTTCGTCTGATGAGGCGTGTCAGAGGGTATCGGCAGATCCTCTGAGTATTTCTTCTATTGTCTCACTATATCCTTAATAAGCTACACCCCCCCTCCTGACTTGCTAGTTCACCATAAGCCTTGCATCCTCTGGGACAAACATGCACCACACCAGATTGGGAATACAAGTATACCCACCCTAACTGGATGCCTCGCATCACGAGTGAACCCAGGTGAGGCTGACTAACAAGCTTGTTCTCCTTCCCCACCACAGAGATGATATTTCATGTCTATAGAGCCAGTTCTCTGCCTCTGACTGCCACCAAATCCACATAGTACCTCCCTGTGAACTAGCCGCTCCTGCTCCCGGTAGCCTCACTGGAGGGCTGGGCCCATGTGGCTCATTTAACCCATAACCTGGTCACAAAGCGCTTTGCAGTGAGCCCCTCCCACAGGCCCACCTCCAAGGTGAAGCCCGAGCGACCCTGTCCTGGGGTAAACAACGCTTCACTTTCTCTGGCCCCTCAACCAAAGCCAGTTTGCCTTGAAAGACCCTACCAGGGGAAAATTGCCCCTGACAACACAGATCTCAGGAGCACTCAAAAATCCAAACCCCACTGCCACCATGAGTTGGCAATTCATGGACTGGCTGACTCAATGAATCACCTGACACCAAGAGTGTGACACCCCTCTCTTTAAAACCAAAAACAGACACACGTTATTTGTGTCTGTATTGACTTTTGCACAGATTTAAAAGCATTCATGGCTTTGAATACTGCTAATACAGCATGACAGCTCCTGTTACATCCAATGAGTTCACTTTTTGTAGAGATTAAGAATATCAAAATTTGTTTTGAAAGAGACACAATTTGTTCCATGTGCATCTTTTAACCTATGGGTCACACATATGGCTGCCATCAGATGTTACTCAACAAATATGCCTTTTAAAAGAGCAAAATGCAATGATATATAAACTGATGGACAACAATAAAAGATTGTCTTGACGATGAAGTCTGTCTTTGATAAAGCAATATTAAGCCCCAATTTCAGTGTTTTATTTGTCCAATGACTATTTAATGGGTTTAAACAAATGAGTTCAGTTCTTAAACCTGCTGCTGTACACAAGTTCAATACTAATAAACAAAAGTTCATAAAATGAATTAATACAGAAGAAGAAAAAAAAAAGATTCCTGCTAATGATCAGCATGCTTACACAGCACGCTCTCACAGAGCCCCTAATACGGCTTTATAAGTTGTGTTATCTTATGTTGTGTTCTTTCAGGTTTTAAAATGACGACAGAAAATACTATTATTGTTATTATTATCATGTCATCGTCATCTAAAAGTGTTCAGTGTAGACCTTGTAGGTTTACAGCTCTATTGCTAGTCTTGTTCTAACCCTGTTAAGTATTTATGCAGCACTGTGTAATCATACATGTGATAAAGACCCACTTTATAGTCAGTCTGTGATGCCTGTGTGTGTGTTTGGGGGGTTTAGACTGACAGCAAGACAGGTGAGAGCTCCCACTTTCTTTTTCTCTTTTCCTCTGGGTGCATTTTGGGCAGTTTAACAACAATTTAGGGGAAATTAGCAAAAAAAACCATTATGACTGTCTCTACATGAAGTGTTCCCCCTCCACCTATACTCATATACAAACACACATGCAGAAACAGAAACGGATGTACACTGAAATCTCAAAGCTGGAACCCATAATAGGCTTTCTATTACTCCAGGGCAAAGTTTCCCTCTGAAAGTTCCCTTCCTCCTCAATCTTCTTGTCAAAAAACCTGCCAGCACAATTTTAACACACTCACAAATACTCATACACGTTCAGATACACAGATTGTTGGACCTCGGTGTCCTGCCTTTCTTCACATTGGAACCATTTGGAAAATAACCAGTGTTTTCTGGGAAATGCCCCTGCTGAGGCCTCCTGATGATGGCAGTGGAGAGACCCTCCTGTGGGTTCGTGTTTGTGCCCTGCAAGCACGCACACACACATACACACAACCTTTCACACGGGGATGCATTTGTTCTTGATTGCACAAGTCTTTCGCTGGCTTCCCTCAGCCACCTGAAGGGAGTTAGTCTATACTGTGTTTCTGGACTTATTGCGTGTTGGATCAGAATATGTCACTGGTAAAAGAAACCCTTGCACACTGTGGACTGCTGTGGACTGCTTTTTATTCAAGCAGCCCTGCAGGAAAATATGAAAAAAGAAACTGATGGAATTGCAAACAGTCTTGCTCTACGTTGCTATACAGAAATAAGACTAATCAAACCTAGTCCCACTCAGTGTTGAAACAGCCAGATGACCGCTTTGTGACTACTGCCATTAGTTTTCTCAAATGTGTGTCCATTATAATTTCATCAAAGATTACTGGAGTAAAACAGCAACTACCTATTCTTCTATCTCGCTCCCACAAGTGCGTTTTTTAACACTAGGAACACAAAAAGCTGTGCGTCAGCTTCATGCGGCACTCACAGTTTTTAAACCACTCTGATAAGAGTCATTTTCCTTCAGTTACAAGGAACGTCATCATCATGCTAACTTTAACTGCTGCTTAGCTGGATGCAGGTGTGACCAATTGAGGAGCAACAACAATTAATTTGAACCCTCATGGGCCACAATCCACTTGTGTTTAAAGTTTTGGAGGGGGTTTCCTGCAAGAAAATCTTTGTTGTTGTAGGAACACTAATCTGTTTGCATAAAACATGGTAGCAGAAAGCATCAGGCCAAATCTGGCATTAGCAACAATCCCACTGCAGTTTCTCCAGAATCTGCTTGTGTGCATTTGATTGATGAGGACTTCATTCAACTCTGAAGTCGTTCTGCATTTAGTGCTAATCCTATGCATTTAAAATACCCAGTTTGTTATTATTTGGAAAGAAATTTAGACAGTATAGTTGCGACTGCTATATAGGATCACAAGATGGGGCTTGGTGATGAACAAAGGCTATTTTCACACCTTTGGTGTTTAGTCCGTTTAAACTGAACTCTGGTACTTTTTTACCCTTCGATTCACGAGACCTTTTGGAGGAGGTGGCTTTGTTTATGGTGTGAACGTGATCTGAACCAACAACAAGCTACTGTATATGCTGCAAATTTGAGCTAAACACCTTCCCTTAGCCAAGTATGCTTTGTTTTCTGGGGTGCAGCAGCGTATCATAGGTGTGCATACCAAACGGTCAGTACAGGTTAGCAACTAGCCGTAACAGTAATGTAAATTCTCTATGTTATGCAGAACAGAACAACCTTCTTCCTGTATTTACATCTGGCCTATAAGCTATAAGCTATTGTAGTGACGTATTTTGGTTCACTTTGAGATTTTCTGTGGGGAAAAAACCCAAACCAAAGCTACAAATTTACAAACTCATCAACTGATTCAAACTAGGGTAAATGAACTATAATGTGCGTAGTATTAGCAACATCTCAAAGCAATGCTGAGAAACCAGCGTGTGCAGTTCTCACTTCTCCCTGTACCTGGTTCTACTAGAGATATCTTAGTGTTAACATGGAGTTCTTTCTTCCCACTATCACCAAGTGCTTGCTTGTAGGGCTTCATCTGATGGCTAGAGAATTTCTCTCTGAGACAGCTGATGTTATACACTGAACAAAAATATAAACGCAACACTTTTGTTTTTGCTCCCATACCCCATGGGATGGACGTAGAGACCTAAAATTCATTCCAGATACACAATATAACCATCCCTCCCAAACAGTGGTCACAAATCAGTCCAAATGTGTGGTAGTGGGTACATCTGCTATATTGAGATAATCCATCCCACCTCACAGGTGTGCCACATCAGGATGCTGATCTGACATCATGAGTAGTGCACAGGTGTACCTCAGACTGCCCACAACAAAAGGCCACCCTGGAATGTGCAGTTTTTTGCGCTATTGGGGGTCTGGGGACCCAGAACCGGTCAGTATCTGGTGTGACCACCATTTGCCTCATGCAGTGCAACACATCGTTGCATGGAGTCTATCAGATTGTCAATTGTGGCCTGTGGAATGTTGGTCCACTCCACTTCAATGGCTGTGCGAGGTTGTTGGATATTCGTGGGAACTGGTACACGCTGTCGTATACGCCGGTCAAGCACATCCCGAACATGCTCAATGGGTGACATGTCCGGTGAGTATGCTGGCCATGCAAGAACTGGGACATTCTCAGCTGCCATCTGCCCTGAACAATGTGAACCATGATTCATCCGTGAAGCGCACACCTCTCCAACGTGCCAGACGCCATCGAATGTGAGCATTTGCCCACACAAGTCTGTTACGGCGACGAGCTGGAGTCAGGTCAAGACCCCGATGAGGACGACGGGCATGCAGTTGAGCGTCCCTGAGACGGTTTCTGACAGTTTGTGCAGAAATTGTTTGGTTGTGCAAACCAATTGTTCCAGCAGCTGTCTGGGTGGCTGGTCTCAGATGATCTTGGAGGTGAACCTGCTGGATGTGGAGGTCCTGGGCTGGTGTGGTTACACGAGGTCTGCGGTTGTGAGGCCGGTTGGATGTGCTGCCATATTCTCTGGAACGCCTGTGGAGACGGCTTATGGTTGAGAAATGAACATTCAATGCACGGGCGACAGATCTGGTTGACATTCCTGCTGTCAGCATGCCAATTGCACGCTCCCTCATTGCTTGTGGCATCTGTGGCATTTTGCTGTGAGACAAAACTGCACATTCCAGGGTGGCCTTTTGTTGTGGGCAGTCTGAGGTACACCTGTGCACTACTCATGATGTCAGATCAGCATCCTGATGTGGCACACCTGTGAGGTGGGATGGATTATCTCAATATGGCAGATGTGCCCACTACCACACATTTGGACTGATTTGTGACCACTGTTTGGGATGGATGGTTATATTGTGTATCTGGAATGAATTTTAGGTCTCTACGTCCATCCCATGGGGAATGGGAGCAAAAACAAAAGTGTTGCGTTTATATTTTTGTTCAGTGTAGATTGGTGCTATATATATATATATATATATATATATATATATATATATATATATATATATATATATATGTATAAATTAAATTCGACAGAACAATAAAAGATATATATATTTGTTTGAAAGCTTAGCTTTAAACTTGTAAACTTAGCTTTACATCAGGGAGGCCACAAAGTCAAACTCACCCAGCAGCTGATCACAGTCCCTGCTCATATCGGATGGTGACTGTGGAGCCTGCTGGCAAATCTCGGATAATGTGCATCATTGCAGTTTCTTTAGCCTGCAACAGTTGTAGCTGCCTCTCCAAGCCACTTTGCAACCCACCCACACCCTACCCCGCTCCACCTTTGCATGCTGCATCTGACTCTGTGAATTAACAAACTTCTTCTAAATAAATTGATCTCCACACTAACTTAAAGTCTTTGAGATGATTATGATTAAGATTGTCAGTTGATTTTAGGCAGTGTTACACAAATTCTATATACCTGAAAGATAAATATAATCGTATTTGTTTGCTGTTGTTTTTATTTAATAAATGAAGAGACTGAGTGTGACTGTGCCAGAATGCAGCTCCAATTGAAGCTAATGCAAAGAAGCAAGGGAAGAAGGGAAAAGAAAATAACTGGGTGGTAAGCAGCGAGAGGATTTGGCTTGTCACTGTTCCGATGCAATGTTTTCTTTCTTTGCTTTTTCTCTTTTGGTTTGAATCCCCCGGTATTTAATGTTTTGTACACACCAGCGCAGGTGCTATTGCCAGAGGAGCTTGGCTCAAATTATTGTCAGTGACTGAAACAGAATGGGCCACAGTTTGTTTCCCAGGGAGGCATTTGGAAATTTATTTGTTCAGACGCAAGGCTGAAAAACCATAAATCTCTAGATCTGTGTCAGTCTTCTGCAGATTGGCAGTTTGGAAGAAGATCTGCTCCCCCCTGCCATCATTTTCTGGAAAACATGGAAGCTCATAATTAAAAACAGCTAGTAGTTCTTTTTTAAGACCTTCCTGTTATTGTCCTTTTTGGCAGAGCTTTACAAAAGGGTTTAGCTTTTAAAGCCGTAATGTGTTCAGGATACGAAATCAAGGCCAAGTGCTGTCTCCAAATAATTAAACGTAATTTGACGATTGAAGAGATCTTCATATGTCCGGCAGATTTTTAAATTTTATGCTATTACTCTCAGTTCCAAAGTGAAAATGATGCGAGCCTCTGCGTATCCTGCAATATTTGGAAGAATTTTAGTAAATCCTTAAAAAGTAAAATCTTCTGGAAAAGCCTGAACTTTAGTTCAGACGTAGCCAAAGCCTGAGCTCCAGCCACGCTCCGGAGTCCTTTTTGTGCAGAGCCGTGGAAACTCCTAAATACCTGCTTGGCATGTTGTTAGGTTTAAATTTTTTTTAAAAGTCAAGTTCTTCCTTTTGTGGTAGTTTTGGGATCCACATAATAGAAACGAAGTATCCTACAGAGAGTGTTTTTGAGGCATGCCTGAACGATGCTGTAACTGCGTTGTTCTCTCCTCGTTACAAGGTGTTCTAGAGGGCTGGAAACAGAGGTTGGCTCTGCCCGCCATCAATCAATCACTTCTTATCTGAGAATTCGAGAAGGAAGGAGAGTGTTTTGAGTTTTTAGTTCTGCAATGTGAGTTTTATAAGACGCAAGTGTTTAAAAAAAGGTTTTTGACCACAGATGGGGATTTTTTGGCTTTAGTTCTGCCCTAAAACACCACAAGAGAGCTCTCACTCACCTTTGATCATCTCCTGTCACGCCGATTTCTGCGCTCTGTTTAAAATGCGGCTGCTCCTGTTAAATAAAGCTGATTACATTAAAGTATACGTTACACAATTTTGTATACAGAAATATATATACAAGAGAGGCATGGGGCGTCTATTGAGGGGGTATTGCACAGGTCATATTCCTGGTTAAGTATTACTCTCTCAACAGTCACAAGACTGTATATGTGCTGGATTTCATTTGTACAGAAACATGCTGGGAATGATGAAATGTGGTTATTACGGCAGTTCAGTTGGAAAGCTATTACATTTGGGAAAAGAACAAGTTTGTATTTTAAAAAGTTTGCTGGGAGCCAGCCTGCATGTGTTTGTATTTATTATTGTTTGCTATGATTTAGTAACAAAAGAAGTTACACCAAACCCTCCCAAACAGACGGGAAGAGGAAAACTCATGTGTGTTGAATTACCATAGCTAAAATTCACGCTTTCTTCACCAAAACACATGTAACTCAACAATATTCCCAAACTGCTGCAAAACACAACACTGGCCCCATTTTAAATGAGAAATAAACCATTAAGCAGTAAAAAATCTTCCTCAAAGTCCTCGGTTATTTTTCTGTTTAATTTTATACCAAGACCAGTGTCGGCCAGGGCTGATATTATGTGTGGTCTCCTTTCTCCAGACTCATGCTCACAGCTCGCTGGTCTACCTGGTGTCCCTTCTGGGCAGCATGGAGCACAGCTTTCACCACACCCTTCTGCTGGAGGTCAGAGCGCTGACCGACCGTTACCCATCTTTACTGGGCGGCTGCGGTAAAGACATCTACAGGATGAGCAACTCTTTCACTGCAATAGCCAGGCTTCTGGGAAGACGACTGGAGGAGAAATCAACGTCACACTGCAGGTTAGGAAACACCTGTTAACATGGGCTGCATGAAATCTCTTAGCGGTGGTCACCTAAAATCTTAAATAGTGTCTCTACAGCCTCTATGGATTGCAGCAGCTACTATGGAGAGTAGCTAGAGACAACTAGAGATTGATATTCAAGTGTTGCTGATTATATTCTTGTTATGTTTTGCATTCGCTCAGGAGTCACTTTAATAAAATTCGAGTTTGTGCAGACTAAGCAACTACAATGCTCTGTTTCTTCCTTTTATTTAAAAAGGGATTTGTGCACTCACTGGCCAGTTTATTAGGTTCACCTGGTCAACTGCATGTTAATATAAAAAAAAAAAATCTAATCAGCCACCCACGTGGCAGCAGCTCAGTGCATTTTGGCATGTGGATATGGTCAATACGGCCTGCTGAAGTTCAAACCGAGCATCAGAATGAGGAAGAATTTATATGACTTTGAATGTGGCATGGTTTTTTTGGTGCCAGATGGTTTGGTCTTAGGAAAATTTCAGAAACTGCTGATCTGATGGGACTTTCCCACACAATCATATCCAGGGTTTACAGAGAACGGTCTGAAAATACATATTCTGCTATTCTGTTGATAGCAGAGGACCCCCAGGGTGGTCGAGAATGACTGAGCTACGATCCTGTGGGACTTCCAGATACAGGCGGACAAACTAGTGATGGTCAAGTAGAGAAAGGCGACCGTAGTGACGGATGTAGCTATACCAAGTGATAACAACATTAGGAAGAAGGACCACGAGAAGCTCAAGAAATACCAAGAGCTGCGAGAACAACTCGAGAAGATGTGGAGGGTAAAGGCAGAAGTGGTCTCGGGACAGTGACCCCCAAACTGGGCGAGTGGCTCCAGCAGATCCCAGTAACAACATCTGACATCTCTGTCCAGAAGAGCACAGTTCTAGGAACAGCTAAGATACTGCACAGAGCCCTCAAGCTCCCAGGCCTTTGATAGAGCACCCGAGCTTGAAGGATGAAGGCTGCCCCACAGGGCGAGTGGGGGATTTTTTTTGTGTCAGAGACTGAGTCATAAAGAGAATACACATACTGACTCGACACATTGAGCTGTGTTACTTTGATCGTGACGCTAAAATCAAATCTGGGTCTGTTACAGCGCACTGTTATTTAAGGTCATTAAAATATTTTTCTTTTTGGTTTTGCCTTCAAAACAATCTGCGTGCACAAGAAGTGAACATACCGTGCATACGCTGGCCAAGAGTCATCTGGCTGCCCTGTGGAAATGACACACACACAGCTCTCTTCTAAATAAGAACATTGTGTGCAGAGTTTGAGGCTTCGAAAGACTTTGCTTGGGGTCTTTTGGAAGAGAGATAGAAGGGGAAAAGGATTGGAGGGAGGCAAAGGCAGTTTATTAGTGAAAGAGCAGGGGGGAGTGGAAAGGAAGCCCTCTTTCAAACAAGTAGAAGTTTTGAAGGATATTTGTATAAAAACACAAGTAAGGAATGAAAAACAGAAAAGAGCGAAAGAGGGTTCAACACAATTTGAACCAATTAATGTAAGAAAGAAGCAAATTAAGCCAACGTTTGCCAGAGGGGGAGAAACTTGTGACACCGTCAGCTTCAGGTCACACGTATAGCAACTATAATGTGAACTCTGGCTCTGTGTGCATTCAGGGTGGATGAGGCGTTCCAATCAGATGGAGGAGGAGGAGCACCAGAGCAGCAGCTGCAGGTGAAGATCCAGGCCTTTGAGGAGAAACTGGGAGACACGGTGGAAGATGAGGAGGAGGAGGCAGCAGGGGAGGACTCTCCTGCCCCGCAGCGACGCTACAGCCTAAGCCAAACAGTCAGGGAGGAGAGGCGTGAGATGAGATTCAACAGGTCAGTTAGTAAGAACATGCTTCTGCTCAGTGTCCTCTGAAATCTGACTGGATAGAAAAAACATATTTTTATGAAGAATCTGGTGGATTTGAAGAGATGCCTTGAGCCAAGAAGACGTTTCTATATGTGTGTTTGTTGAAGAATGTAAACACTGCCACACTTGGAAAATTTTGTTTATTTTATGAAATCGAAATGACACAAATTTACATATAAAACAGTGACCAGGTACATCACTGCCTCAAAAGTTAAAGACTGTGTTGGAGGTGTGTTGCAAAGTGGCTTGCAGCAGCAACTGCATCTGTAGCAGGCTAAAGCAATTACAATAGGGCTTCCTTTATGAGATATACCAATGGGATGGTATCAGCTGAGCCAGCAGACACTGAGTGCTGGCATAGAAAGAAATTAAACATTAGCCATGTTTTCGCAAAAACAAGCACATGTCTTTAATTCTTCTGTATATTGTCCTCTAAAATTTAGACATTTTATGTCTTGGGGGGTTTATGTTGCTGTGTTTTGTTAGTGGGATAAAACTGTACTTAGAATGTCCTGGAGTATACCTGGTTGTCAGGTTGCAGTTTATACAGTTACTCACATGTCATACCTGTATGTGTGTGTGTGCGTGTGTGTGTATATATATATATATATATATATATATATATATATATATATATATATATATATATATATATGTATGTATATATATGTATGTATATATATATGTATATATATATATATGTAGTTGGAGGGCCAATATATATATATATATATATATATATATATATATATATATATATATATATATATATATATATATATATATATATATATATATATATATATATATATATATATATATATTGGCCCTCCAACTACATATATAGTTGGAGGGCCAATATATATATATATATATATATATATATATATATATATATATATATATATATATATATATATATATATATATATATAATTTTTTTTTTTTTTTCATTATCATCTTTGTAGTACAAAATGCTCGCTTGGTGAGATGTCCTACTACTCTGGAAGTTGTAATTTCTTTGTGGCTTAAGGATATTACATCATTTCTCAAAGTAGAAAAAAGTAGAACAGTCAACAAATATTGATGAAGAGGTACCAGAAACATTTTTATTGCTTTAACTGTTAATTTCTTCATGCTCTCTCTCCTAGGTCAAAGAGCCTGGCTCTCAATGCCGTGCGTTCTCGGTCCATTAACTCAGACGAAGGGGAGGACGGTGAAGGGGTGGAGCTCAGCACAGATAGCGCCTTTTCCAACACTTTGCCTAATCACCATTCAGAAAACCACGAAGTCTCACCTGCTGAGAGGAAATTGACAGATGGCTCTCTGGTCGGCGTCACTCCGCTAGACAGAGCGGCTAAAGAGGTGGAGAAAAATCAAAACAGAGAGAAGGATGGACAGAAAGGAGAGTGGGCGGAGCCTGACAGACTTTACATCCATTTAAGAGACAATATGGAGATGATCGGAGATTTCTGTAAAGTAATGGTGCAGCAGATCCCCATCCCAGAGCAGTGTGTGATAGAAGGTAATGCATGCTGGTAGAAGCTGGTCTTCAGTATTAATCCACAAGTATTTAAGCAGAAGTTGATCAATAAACGTAGGTTCCATGGAGACTGTCAAAGGCAGGGTTTATTTAACCTGCTGAACCTGAATGAGATTACAATCAGACTTGGTGATTAATGGGTATTAATGGGATGTGGTATGAATATACCTCATCTTCTCCTGTCTTTCATTCCCACTGTGTGTCTCTAACACACTGACACAGATGCAACGCTCAGCTGAGGGTTGATTTTTGCCTCCAAAGCTCCAAATTGAGAGGGATTTGTTTCTCCAGGAGCACTAATTTGATTTTAGTTATGCGCTCACTGATTACTGATTTTAATCCTATCTAGACTGTAATTTACCCACACCCTCACCCCTACCACGCCCCTGAATGCCGTTTTCTTTGGTCTTCCCAAAATTTCTATGCTGTCTGAACAAATACTGTAGACTGATTATTTGTGTGCTAAAGGCTTTCCAGTCGCTGAGAATCAGCAGCCCGTGAGGTGATGTGATTTTCCTGTGGAATTTTCAACCGCCTCGTATAATTTAGCAGTGGCTAAAACTCCAGATGACATCAATCTAGTTAGTGAGGTGCCTAATGTCTAATCGTGCCTAATATCTCCTATTAATCATTTCTAAATGGGACTTGTTAGGGGTTATTTGACATTAAGCGTGAGAGGGGAAACAGCACACACACACACACACACTACACAGTGAAAAAATAGCCAGTGTTTCAGCTGAGCTGCTGATCTGGGCTTGCGGTATATGGACCCCACAAAGGAATAACAGAAACAAGGAAAACTTTTGGATGACATCCAATCTTTGCAGTTCAGGTTCAAAATCACATCAACGTAATAGGATCAAAATATCATTATTTTTAATGGGAACTGAAAATGGTTGTTAGCATTAAATCGGGCCTTGAAGAAAGGCTGATGATTCAATTATAAAAACAAACCAGCAGTGTGTGTGTGTGTGTGTGTGTGTGTGTGTGTGTGTGTGTGTGTGTGTGTGTCACTACTTTCAGATTTCCTTGCATTAAGGTTGCAGTAACAGTTGTTCAGCTAAAGATTTTGGATCTAATACAGACTTGTGTGCGCGCCCATGTCCAAATTGGAGCAGCGTGACAGTGTGACAGTTCATATAGGAAGCTGCCGTAATTGGAAAAAGAAGAAACATGCACATCTCCAAGCACCTGCATCAAGACGGAGGGCATGCACTGAAGAAACACAGCCAGAAAGCAATCAGTAATCAATTTGTCTTGTAATCAGTTTACAAAAGGGTTTATTCCAACCCTTTCAGGCCTGCTTATTCTGATTGGGATGTTTATTTGAGGCATTTTTATTCTGTTTGGGGTGTACAGGTAGCCAATGGCAATCTGGCAGATAAGGCACAGTGAACTAGGGTTATAAATACAGAGGGAGTTGATTAGGGCAATATGTTTAAGTGAGCAGAGAGGCACTGAGGGTCAGGTGACTGGCGGTGGGAAACGGGACAGGCCGGAGCGGCTGAGTGTGAAATGACAGAAGAGGCAGTGTGGGGAAAAACAGGCAACCAGAAAGAATCACACAGGCAAAATCTGCAAAGCTAAGTAGAAACAGATGAATGGTATGCATATGTAGGATGTTTGCAAGAAGCACACGTATGCATGGGAGCAGTTTTGGTGAGCGTGAATGATGAGCACTTTCCTACTTTTGTGCTTGGAGTTCAGGTAGAATCAAAACACCAGTTCAACCAGTTCAAATAAGCAAGAAACAAGAAACCGCTTAAACTAATCTAATCCATTTTCTGAAACTTTCCAATCCATTTTCACAATTCCGCACACCTTCTTCTCATATTTAGGGATTTGGTGCTTTATTTTCATTCAGTTCAGATCATTTCTGCTTATTTTCAGTTTTCCAATTCGATTCGGTTCACTTGGATTAAGCCTTCACTGCCATCTTTTAGCGGCTCTTGTCATCACCTTTTGCATATCCAAACGTTTTTTAACTCGACCCAGCCCCTCCTACGATGATAAATCCTAATGTGACGTAAGTAATAAAAACGCATCATGTGGACTTGTTTTACAAAATGAGCACATTTAGAAAGAAACGCATTTAGCTGGACAACGAGAGCTCCCAGAGCCTACACAGCACATTCAACAATACATGTTATCATATGCATATTACTGCAGTTTAAGTAAACAGTTAGACATGATATTCCAGTGTGTACTCCTTTCTCTGAGCCAACCACAGACACAAGGTTGTAGTGAGGCATTATTCTTTTCACCATATTCATGATGAAAAACACAGAAAACCAGATGCGTACCCGATACAGCACAGGAGGTGGTGATATTTTGATTGACACGTGGGGATGTTATTGCTCCGCCTTTGGCCTTAATGTCATTTTATCTGAGAGGCAGCCAAGAGTCAAACGGCACCCACACATTACACACACATGAAAACAGGAAACAAGACAGAAAATAACAAACTCCTCCTTTGGCCTCTGGTTAATTGATTAAATCTGAAGGTGAATGTAAATATAACCAGCAGTTGTGTACTTTGAGTTTGATGGCTTAGTATTTGGTCCTGCTGGCAATGAGAATCCACCCAAAGGCTCGCAGCCTATGAGGTCACGGGTGGTCTCAGCTGGATGATGTCATCATGCTCCTGGCTGACCTTCCCACGAGCTGCTGACCCTTCATCTCACAGGATGAGGATTACACAGAAGAGTGCGCTTGAGCGCTCAGTCCAAACATATATTCTGCACGTCTGCACATGCACATGGACACAGTAAAAACACGCTGCGCCCACATGCTTTTTTGTTGATGCCGCACTCACAGGGTGCCTCTTTGCTGCTCGGAGTTTTTCTGCTGATTTCATCGTGAGCTGCTCTTGGTTTGTAGATGATGCCTTTTGGGTGGGATTCTGTTGTTATCGTCAGTCTTACTCGTTCTCTTTCTTTTGTTTGAAAGCTGGGTACATTAGTATAATGCAGGACTTTCTAAACTGGAGCTCGTGTACGGCACTGTGCAAAAGTTTTGGTTTTTTTTTACTAATTTTTAATCAGTCCTTCAGGCTTTGTCTGAAAAACAAGTGTTTCTGGCTTGTGTTTCACACTAGATTTTGTACCTGATCAGACAAACAACCAATTTTAAATTGAATCGTTAGGCTCTTTGTCACTGAAGTTATGAAAAAGCACAAAATATCATCTTTGCACCAACAATATGATTCAAAAAGAGCTATGAGCCGAAAACTTGGCAGATCTGAGCGCAGTATGAAGTGTGTCCTTAAAATAATTTGGGGAAACTGAATAAGTGGAGTACAAAGAACAAGTGGCAGAAGAGGATGAACAGTATCTGAAATGAAATCTGGCCTTTCAGTTGATCTATCTACAGTTTGCTAGAGCCTCATCAGAAATGTCAGACGTGTCTCAGTGGAAGCAAGAAGCCAGTGTTAAGGAAGGGAGACGGGGAGAAAAGGCTGAGGTATGCCAACTCACACAAGAGCTGGACTGAAAATCAGTGACAACAGGTCTGATAGAGTGATGAATCCAGATGTGAAATTTCTGGTTTGTCACTGTGCAGAGAAAAAGGTCAGGAGAGAGATACAACAGTGAGTGTCTACATTCATCTGTAAAACGTGATGGAGGCTCTGTCATGCAGTGGTGTTGGGGATCTTGTCAAAACTGGTGGAATTATGAATGTAAATCAGATTTTGAGCCACCATGCAATACCATCTGGAACGTATCTTATTGGCAGTGAAGTGAAAGCATACCTAGATAGCAAACACACAATGTCATGGATTGGCCTCCCCAGAGTCTGGACCCCAACACTATTGAAGCAGTGTGGGACCATGTTGACAGAGAACAGAAAAGCCAGCATCCAAGGAAGAGCTTTGAATATCTTAAACGATTCCTAAAAAGAAATGATAAGAAAGCTAATGTAAGAGAGTTCAGGCTGTGTTGAAGAATAAAGCTGTCCATACCAAATATGACTTTTAAACTCATTAGAATTGTACAAACTCCATTTCCATCTTCCATCCATCCATCTTCTTCCGCTAATCCGAAGCTGGACAAGTGATATAATCTCTCCAGCATGTCCTGGGTTTGCTCGGGGGCCTCCTCTCGGTGGGACATGCCCGGAACACCCCACCCAGCAGGCATCCTTTTCAGATGCCCGAACCACTTCAACTGGCTCCTTTCAATGTGGAGGAGCAGCGGCTGTCCTCTGAGCCCCTCCCGGATGGCTAAACTTCTCACCCTATCTCTAAGGTAGAGGCCAGCCACCCTTCAGAGTTAGCTCTTCACCACGAGGGACCGGTACAGCGTCTGCATCACTGCAGCCGCAGCACCTGCCATAGGTGCCGTAGGGGTCGCCTGCATTGTGTGCTGGGAGGCAGCCAGGAGTGGAGGCCCTGGCAGACTGATCCCAATACCAAGACTGTCAATTTTCCATTATTACTGGTATCGTCAGTTTGTTGAGCGAAGTTTGCCAAAGGCAGCGAAGAAAATACACAAGACCAAATCATTTTGAATGATTTGGTAAATATTAATATTTTATCATTTTTGCTCTTTTCGTGATGCAGATTCCAGTCGAGGTTGTGCGGCCAAGCTTTCGTTCTCCTGTCCTTTGAAGGGTCACTACTGTCTGTACGCCAAATCCTGCTTCAACCTGACCAGCCAACAGCCGCATCTATGGATTCACATCATGTTGTTACATTCACAGGTGCACCCAAATGTCCCGCTGTAAAAGCACACAAATGTGTTAGTAAGTGTAAGACGTGCATCTGATGTCATTGGTCTTTGGTTGCCTGAAGGTCTGAAATATGTTGTTTCTTAAACATTTCGTATTGGAGAATAATTGAGAACCTTCACTGACTAGGATAGTTTCACGCTCTTGCGCAGTCTTTTGTGTCTTTATCTGAACCATATCTCAGTTTTTAAATTTGTTTTTGTTCTCCTGCTCTTGTATTTTGTCTCTTAGAGTAAGTCCAGCGTACCTCTCAGCACCAGGGACGAGTGTGTCCAAAAACTGGGTTCTCTTTGGGAAAAGACGCAGCTTAAAGGAGCTCACAGCTTTTCTATGGCCATGACACAGCAGACTACCCCACACAAGAAGGTACTGGACCACCGCAGTGTGGGTGTGTGTGTGTGTGTGCGCAATCATGCAGCTTCCTCATAAAAGCTATCTGTTTCCACCAGAGAAGATGAAGTCATCGCTTGCGTAAAAGAAAGAAATAAAGATAGGGAAGCGTCAGCACCCACTTTGTTTAGATATGGAAGGCACTGAATGGACGTGTTTGTATACAGGACCTCCGTTCGCCCTGTCTTCTCATCTTTATCATGTCTGTTTGTGTGTTTGCAGATTTGAAACACTGAGAAAAAGCAATTGAACGAGAGGGGGGTTGGGTGGGAATGGTGTGGGGGGTGAATATGTGCGTCTGGTTTGGTGAGAACGTGGAAATGGGTGGTGTTCTTCGTGCTGTCGCTTCTTATGTGTGACAAGCTAAGTGCTCATTAGGAAATAATTAGGCTCACAAAGAAAATACAGCTGTTATTTGTCTTTCTCTAAACGTGTGTTGTGGTTGCAACCAGCTGTGGTTCCCATATGGAGCCCTTACAGAAAAAAACACAAGTACACTTACAGTGCTGAGAAAAAGTGTTTGGCTTCTTCCTGTGTTCTTAGTTTGTTTGCACATTTTGCACACTTACATGTCAAATTTTAACATTAGACAAAGATAAGCTGAGTAAAAAGAAAGTGCAGGTTTTAAATGATGATTTTATTTATTTAATCAAACCTGTCTGCCCTCTAAACGTTAATAACTTGGTGTGCCACTCGCAGCAGCAAAAGCTGCACTCAAGTGTTTGTGATAACTGGCAATGCATCTTTTGCATCACTGTGGAGGAATTCTTCTTTGCAGAATTGTTTTAATTCAGCCACACTGGAGGGTTTTCCAACATAAACAGCCTGTTTAAGGTCGTGCCAAAGCATCTCAATCTGATTTAAGTCCGGACTTTGAGTAGGCCACTCCAAAACCTTCATTTTGTTTGTTTTAACCATTCAGAGGTGGACTTGCTGGTGTGTTTTGGATTATTGTCTTGGTGCATAACCCCTGTGTGATTGAGCTTCAGGTCATGAACTGACGGTCGGTCATTCTCCTTCTGGATTTTCTGGTAGAGAGCAGAATTCATGGTTCCATCAGTTACAGGAAGTCGGCGCCAGATCATCACACTGCCAGCACCACATTTGACTTAATTGCTGTGTTAGTTTTATGGTAGCTGTAACGGGACTCAAACCTTCTACTAAGTTCAGTTTTTGTCTTATGAGTCCACAGAATCTTTTTCCAAAAGTCTTGGGAATCATCACACGTGAGACGAACTTTTGTTTTCTCTTTTGTCAACAGGTTTTTCTCCTTGAACTCTCCGGTTTTTGCCCAGTCGCTTTCTTGTTGTTCAATCACGGAAACTTAATTGGGAGTGTGTGTGGACACGTTTATGTCGCCACATGTTAAAACAGCTGCGCTTAGCACTTATACACCTGCGTCACATACATACCCATAGGGTAAACAACCTCACTCTCTCACTGTCTGATTTGATTATCCACGAGCGAATTACTTTCCTGATGATCTCAATAGTCCTAAATTAGATCACATTAAACTCTTGTTTGTTTTAGCTGGAGGCCTATAAAAACACAGACCCTGAAGCTACACATGCAGTGATTTTTTACATTTATGGGCCATATAGCCATGCTGATAACACAGTGCTTCAGCTGACACGCTCGTTGTTGTGTTTGGTCAGAGAAATCCCTTGTACGTGCCAACAACAACAGTGACTTTACAACTTACGATGATCATTCACTTTCACTATTTCATGTTAGTAAAACTGTAAGCTCTCTTTCCCACTCAATTACTGCTGTTTTATCAGGTGCCTGTCAGATTATGGCCCTCTTTTAAAAGCGTATTTTCTTGTGTGCCACATTTATTACTGTCACTGAGTCCTAGTTCCTTGCTTCAGTTTCTGGTTTTGTTCATGATCATTCTGCCTGATATTTGTTTTGTATAACCTGTAGTCTTCCCCGCTTGTGCCCCTGTGTATCACCTTAGTACAGCGGTCCCCAACCCCCGGGCCGTCCATGAGTCGTTTGGTACCGGGCCGCGAGAGTTGAGGCTCGGGTGCGAAATTGATGGTTTTCAGGATTTTTACGTTAACTCGGTTTCCCTAGGTCTTTTCCCGTTTTGTAGTTGTGTGTCTTGTTTTGAAAGAAATATTTATGTGTTACCATAGCAACCAGAGAGCATTAAGGGGCAGAGAGGAGGACGTTACTCTCAATGTTGTTGGCGCATTTCAGGAGGACGCTGCTAATAAAGTTACACAATTACACAGTGAATTTGTGTTTATTATTATTATATTTACAAAATACCACATTTTTTGTCTTGATCGTGTCATTTTATTTTGTTGTATTTATCCTGTTTTACTTTTGTAGACTTTTGTACTTTGTGCTTGTCACGTTATCCCTGATCTGTTCCCTGTTCCACTGTAGCTTCATTACCTTTTGTATTTATTGTTCCCTAATGTGTTCCCTAGTGCTACCCACTGTAGTTTGTTTTTCCTCATGGCGCCTGGACTCTGTTTTTCTTTGATTGTTCCAGCATTAAATCTTTGCCGTAGGTCCGCTAACGTCCACCATACTCCACACAGCGTATCCTGACATGGACCCTGAATCTTTGTGCTTTGCTCTTTGTTTCGACACACTGAGTCTTTCCTTTTCACTCGCTTTTTAAAAAAGCAATAGAAAAAATGAGATGGTTAAGTTTTTAGAAAAGGTCATGGATCACAGCATTCACCCTCTGAAAACCAGCTTACCCAGTGACTGTGACTGCTGGGCTTTAGAACGATTTACATGTGGCAATGACAATTATAATCACCACTGCCTAAAGTTGGTGCATTACTGTATACTGCGTATCTTGGTAGTAGTTAGTTGAGGCTCAGGAGGCAGATCAGATTGCGTGCAATTAGAAAGTTGGTGTCTCAGTCCCCAACTCCTCCAGTCTGCATGTTGAAGCCTTCTTGGCGAGGATACTAAACACCAAGAACAGCTACAACACCGTGGACGTTGATTAAACAGCTGTATTTGTTGGCCTGGGAATTTAGAAAAGGGTCTGCAAAGTTTCAGCACAATATTCCAACAATGCATAAGTGCAAATGTCTGTGAAAGAAATTATACTGTGTAAATGGACTGTTAATTGTTACGGTTAAGATCACTGCCTTCACATTAAAATGCACTTAGTGCAAAGTATTGACGGGGAGTGGCAAATACTGCACCGGTAGACTTAAACAAGTTTGCTCACCACTACTAAATTATCTTAGCAGAATGTAAAAACATGCTGATGCTGACAGCTTCGATTTTGGTGATCCGGAAACACAAAACAAGCAAAATTAGTGTTGAGGTGAAAGAAAAAAAACAAAGGTGTAATTTAAGAGGAGTAAGGAGGAGAAAGAGAGCCACTACTCTTTTCTCCATCCACATTCATCACACTGCCTCTTTGCTTTCTTTCCGCCTCAATGAGATCTACAGCTTCTCTCCTGTCACTGTCAGCCAAACAGCATCGCACATGATTTGACAGCAAGGAGAAGAGCCGCGGGACAAGGAAAGCTGTTATATGTGTGAGACAGAAAAGGTTACCAGTTACATCCGTACTGACAGGAAGATTTAAAGGGAGACCATAGGGCTTTACAAGGCTTCGGTGATTTAAGAGGGGCTTGTGTTTAGCTTCTGACATTTTGGGTTAGTAGTTTTATGACACAGAGAAAAGCTGGTGGAAGCAAAAATGGGGGGATGGAGGGCCTAAGGGCAAGAGGGGGGGGGGACCTTAAACAAGTTAATAACACTTGCTTTACAAGTTACAAATACATAAAGTTGGAAAATAGTAAAAGGTTAAAAGAATAAAGATGTAAAAGGATAAAAGTGAAGGAAATGAGGAGCAGAAAGGGTGGGGAGGAGCAAAGATGGTCAGATGGGATGCAGATGAAGAGAAAAGGAAACTGAGAGGAACTGAAGGGGCGGTTAGCAAGGAGTAAACTTTGCCGAGGAGAAAACTTAAGGAGTGGGGATTATCTTACATAGTGAGAGGAAGACATGGCACAAGATACGAAAGGAGACAGAGCAAAGTCCGTGGAAGGAGGTGATTGAAAAGTATTGTTTCACTCAGTTTGCCCAGCGCGTGAGAGTTTGTTGATACAACTGTGGTGAAGATAACTTTTGATGGAGGGAGAGGAGGGAGGAAGGCGGGGTACTCGAAGATAAAGATGGGGCCAAGGCTGTGATTAGATAAAGATGCTCGGGGACGAAACAAGGGTAGAGGAGACAGCTGACCTCTGCGTGTGCCCGTGTGAAAGGAGTTTTATAGTCAGGACCCCGGCCTGCCAGACAGAGCCGCAGAGGAAAGTCCGCAGGAACAGAAATAAAGCACGTCCCTGTTTATTGCTTCAGTCCGCCTCTCCTCCACTCCCCCTTCCCAACACTCCCTCTTCTTATCCACTCACCTTTCTCCAGACGTACACTCCCCTCCCTCCTCCTCCTTCCTGCTTCAGTCTCATTCAGTTTTCTCTGCAGAAATTTCACCTTTATTCTTACAACCTCATCAACCACATTTTTTCCCTCCATTTCTGGAGTTAATAACAGTTTGGCTTCTTAAAAAATCTTTTATCATTCCCAGTTTATTAGAATATCTGGATTTATGTTAGAAAAAAATGAATAAGATAAGATTTTAAATGGCAAAAACAACCTTAAGGACGCATTTTGCAGATTTGGTACATTGAGCATTGTTGCAGTTGCCGTCAGCCATGTGCACTGGCAATCTCGAATCTTGATGAAAATATAATTGTAAACTTAAACAAAATGATGAAAGGAGAGAGAGGAATGATAGAGAGAGGTGCACAAAGGGGGTTTAGTGAAATCTCTGCGAGGACAGACAGATTACATTCAGACGCACATAATCCAGCCTTTGTTTCTTCATCTCTTTATTGAATCCACCTTTGGGGGCTTGATGAATCAAACATGGCCATGTTTGTCCACACAAGCTGTTGCCCGGCTGCAAATTCATCTCTCCAACCTCAGCAGCATCAAAGCTCACATTTGAAAACACATACTGGATGTTTGTTCCGTGCATTACGGCCTTTCAGTTGCGATAATTTGATTAGACACATACGCTGGAGTTTAAGGCATTCTTGTAATGGGCTCTGGAAGCAAATACATCTGATCTTACTCATTTTTCTTTGTTGGTCATTCATTTCTTCTTGTATTTTGCAGCAGATGTCGGGTTTGCATTCACTGTTAGACACTGTTGCTCAACCTCTGACTCACAGCCGGTCCTTTTATCTTCTCTCTGCTTCTGTCTCCAGTTGCTGCTTTTCAGAGGTTTGCTGTGTCATCGGTAAACGATGTTAAAGCTATTTCAGTAATTGGCTCCTTGAAGGTCCGTAGAAAAGCTGTTTCTGCTTTTTCTTTTTCACTTGTAAAGCCAACAAAGACGAGATTCAGGTGAGTCTAAACTACGACACGATTCATGAGTCGTTCTGGTTTCTCATCCATCCACAGAACAACACCGTCAGGTCAGGTCAGTTTCATAATTTGCTGGACAAAGGCGGTTTGTGTATTTTTGTCTTTGTACATCACCAATTTGTGATTGAAGTGCAGACTTCCAACTTCAATTCAAGGAATTTTACAATTTGTTGGGTGTTTTTTTGCATTTGCTGTTCAGGATATTTGATATGATTCAAAGTGTTTAATATATTTTAACTATAATTTTAAATATGAGGTCCAAAGAGAGATGTCAGTGCAAGTGAGGCAGGCCATCGTTAGGCCGGAAAAAAAACAAAATAAACCTGTCAGTGTGATAGAGAGTGAGAACAAAAAAATCCGGACTGACTAAATCTAAAAACAATAAATTCACTGAGCAGCTCAGCAACACCAAAAAATGCCTCAAGTACCACAAAACGCGACCGAAGTGGCCGACAGGATTATTCCCATGGAAAAACAGCTTCACAACATCAAACCAAGTCAAGAACACTCTCGGGGAGGTAAGAGTGTCAAGGTCTATAATTAAGAGATGCCTTCATGAATGTGAAAACAGTGGATTTACAACAAGCTGCAAACCACTGATTACACTCAAGAACAAGAAGGACAAATTAGACAGAAAACACTTTTAAAAAGCCTGCGCAGATCTGAAAGACATAGAAAAGACAAACAAAACCAAGACAAATGGTGAATGATGGGAAGAGAAAACAGGCATGTATGGCTGCCAGTAGAAGGAGGTCACTAGTGTTTATGGATGATGTGACTGCTGATAGAGCAAGATTTGATTTGTAATTGTAATGCATGAACATATATTTTTAATATATAATCAAATGCTACCACAGCCTGATAAGCACTCCTTTTAAAACGGGTGGAGTGGTTCTTTAACTATATTAACATTTGGTAGATAACCCCACCTTTGACGCTATTTAAAGACGGCTGTAAAAAGTCGTGACACCCTCTGTGGGTTTACATTGGAGCCAGTTTGAAGCTCAGAGGTGCAGCTTACTGACATTTCCTGGAAATACTGCCTGGAGCTACAGATGGCCAACGTTAGATACTTTAGCTAAATCCTGCTAACATATTATAATCAGTTAAAACAATAAACGCTCTCCTATATTTCCAGATAGCAACATATTAGGAACGTATTAGCGTAATTATGAAACACAGTGGAATTACGTGTGGGGGGAAGATGTGCACTGTATTTTCTAACATATTTGGTACCTCTGCAGTGTAGCAGAGTACAAGTATAAAACAGTATATTGCGAAAACAGTCGGGTAACATATTTGTCATACCATTCGACTCTCATCTCCTCGTCTTCTCTTTTATCCTTTCACTAACTTTCTTGTCTTTCGCTCCTGCTTTTCTTTTGCAAATCTTTTTCTGCATTTGTTCATTTTGAAGCTTACATCTCCTGAAGACCACTCGGTCCACTGCACGTTATGAGTATATTAATGTTGGCGTAAACCCACAGATGTTCGGTCTCTCCCAAACCACATATGGTCTGGGTTTATCTGTATCTGCAGGCAAATCCCCTTCATTTTTAGTCATTTAAGTAGTAATAACATAAAAAATCAGATGTGACATCTTTCCTTTTTAACATCAAGGGGGATAAATTAAAACACACTAGTAGCTCAGCACAGTGTAGCTACATTCAGTTTTTTCTTATAGTCATTTAAATCCATCTGCATTTGTTAGCCTGCTTGCTGAAGTCAGAAGTTTTACTGATGATCAGTGTGCAAGAGCTGTTTTTAGAGAAATCCTGGAGCCGCGTGTATGTGGTAGGTTTGTTTCTGGGGTATTTGAACTGTGCAATCATGATAAAAGAGATCTGGGAAACCACATAACAGCACTGCAGAAACATGGTTTTAGTTAAAGATAATGTAAATTTATGGTAAATGTACGGTATATGTAAAAAACAAAACAAAACTAATGGTAGTGATCGATCATTTTCATGTTTTTCTCCAAGGAAGAAAAAAAGAAATATGTCAAGTGTCACTGAAGTGTGTTTGTGTGAATTCAAAGTGAAGTATAACTCTTACCATGTGCAGGAGGTCTTGTGGGATTTCTGGTGGGGGTCTAGTCTTCCATTGTTTGCTCTTCTGACACAGATGCAAAGTTGATATTTTCAGGATTTTTGTTAAGTAGCTACTTCTTAGAGTTAAGAATCCCTTATGCATGTGTGATTTTGTATTTGCTTATGCCCTGAGCTGTTTAACAACCACAGGAATGTTAGTATAATCTAAATAAAACATAGATATATATAAAAATCCCCCGCTCACCCCTGCGGGTGGTTCATCCTTCAAGCTCGGGTGCTCTCCCAGGGGCCCGGGGGCTTGAGGGGCCTGCGCAGTGTCTTAGCTGTTCCTAGGACGGCGCTCTTCTAGACAGAGATCTCAAATGTTGTTCCTGGGAGTGGGAACCACTCTTCCCAGCCTGGGGGTGACTGCACCGAGTGCTCCGGTTACCACTGGGACCACTGTTACCTTCACCTTCCACATCTTCTCGAGTTCTTCTGTGAGCCCTTGGTATTTCTCGAGCTTCTCGTGTTCCTTCTTCCTGACGTTGCTGTCATTCGGTAATTCTGTAAACTCTTTGAAAGGTCTTTTAGTGCTTTTCGTGCAAGGGTCTGTGTGTTGCATGTAAACCACAAAGTGACGAGTATAATAATAACAGCAATCCGGAGCTACGCCAGCAGCTCAGGAAAAGCTCCGGAAAAGTGCAGCAATCAGTGCAAGAATTCTTCCATGAACTTGATCATGATTGTTTTAACCCACTTAAACACATCTTTTAATGAAATGTTTTTTATTCTTTTTTATTAAAAAGAATATATTTAACATTTATGACAGATAGTTAGATAAGTAGATACTTTATGGATCCCACAAAAGAAATTGTTGTTTTATAGCAGCATGATAAAGGATGAAAATAGTACAGTCTACAATAAAGTTAAAGTTACACTGTTATATATGATTTAATCTCTTTGTTTTTGAGTTACCTCAGTTACAGCTGCTCCGGTCCCTTGATTGATGAGCCAAGAGGTGAACTAGATGGAGAACTGCAAATTGGCTCATTCCATAGCTCTGGATCATGGGGGGGAAATGGAGTTCGTTATGTTAGTTTCAGTTAGGTTTTGTGTGTTTTTGTGGGCTGATCAGCCCTATTTAAGTTTCTTTGTCTCATTTAGGGAGGTCAGTTTGTTTGAGTTGCCAGTATTGTTTGTTGTTAACTTTGAGTAGGTTTCTGTTACTTTGACCTCTTTTATGGGCACAAGATTTTGATTTTTTGTATAATTTAACCACCTTTGTTTTTGGGTTAAATAAAAAAAACTTTTTTTCGGGACTTTAACCTGTGCCTGACTTTCTTTCACTCGCTTAATCACAAGGGGTTTTATAACACGAGAGAGTATAAACAGGTATATATACAACAGTGAGAAAAACAAAGAAGTGAAAATTGATTAATTAAATGCATTAATAAATACTATGTAGACTATAAATCTAAGAATGATGTTGTAACTTTCACCTTCCTGTTTTGGCTAAGTCATCTTATGGTCCTCAGCTGGTCCTCGTCCTTTACCTGCTTTCTTCTTTTTAATTCAGCCCGAGCCTAATTTTTGTACGTGTTTTTTTTGCCTTTTTCATGCAGATTCCAAAGCTTCCAATGATCCATCTTGGACACCACTCAGTTTTTTCTAATGTTAAATTCTTCTGCTTCAGCACAGATGCCTGATCTCTCCGTGATATTTCTCATTACATAGAGAAATGGGAGCTGAGCTGTCCCGCTGATGTACTCATTCCTTATCTTATCCATCCTGGTCACTCCCAGTATGAACATATGCACCTACAGCTCTGCCTCCTGTCTTTTTGGTATTGCCAACACCTCAAACAATGCATCATAGCATGCCATCTTGTAAATCTACCCTTTCTCACTTGCTGGTATCTCTATGTTACAAATCATCCCTCACACTCCTCTCCACCCGCTCCACCCTGCCCGCATCCTGTTCTTACTCTCTCTTGTGCACTGTCCGCTGCTTTGGATGGAGGCAGTCACTATTGATCACAGCAGATAGAAAGTTTAAATAGGACAGTTTAGTATTTGAGATGCTCAGTTGTTCCATATATTTGTTTCCTTTCCGTTTGCCTTCAGGACCTGGACAACCTTCAGATCCAGCTAGAAGAGGTGCGCTTCTTCGACTTGTTTGGATACAGTGAGGAGGAAGGAGGCTGGCTCTGCTTCATGTGTAACAACCCTGAGAAAGCTACAGGTACACACACGCACACATATATGCACGCTAAGACGGGCACTGAGAATAGAAGGAATGAAGAAATGAGCTCTTCTTATCTGAAAATTGAAGCCCTCCACCTTTATAAACACTTCACTGTACATTTCCGCTCTTGCATATCGTCAAACATTGAAATTACACACTTTGCCTCACACACTTTGTCCTCCTGCGGTTTCCCCTGAATGGCTCCCATCCTTTTCTGTCTTCAGAGGAATGAACAACAACTAAAGTGGGATTTTAAAAGATTGCTTTCTCATTTCATGTCATCTCACCAGCTCTCTTGGGCACAGTTTTCTCTCTCTGGGGAGCTCCATGGGATGTTTTCCCTCAGAATGCCTTCGAGGCACATGACCTTTCCCCGGAAAAGTCAAGGAAAGTGCAGCAGAGAGCAGCTCTTACAAAACAGCTGCCACCCTGATTTAAGCATTTTTAAAGTCACTTCCACCATGACTCAGATGTGATTGCTTTACTTTGGACTGGTGACCTTTCGGTGAGTGCTTTGTGCTGATGAAGTAAGACTTGGAATAAAGATCAAATCTTAAATCACTGTTGGTTTGAAAATTGCAGTGCTTAAAAATGTATAAACCATTCATAGTTTGCTACATTTCTGCATAAATACTACCAGAAAGTCCCAAAATCAAATAAAGAGAAGCCAGTTTAAAGCTAAACTCATTCTACGATCAGGTTTTAATGAAAGAGATTCGGGACCATTGCTAACCTCTCCTGGAGTGCTCAAGCAGAGATCCCTCCAGGAGCGAGGCATGTAATCTAGTCACGTAATAGTAGTCGTGTAATAAAGTTTAACTGTAAGATGCTCCATGTGTGCGCGAGTGAGTGAGAGTAACATCAGTGGTATGTAGCCTCATCCGTCTGTGAGAGCGTGGCGATAGATGTAGCTGCAGCGCACAGAATGTGCTTAAGTGAAGTGTGTTCACTTCATCTTAATGGAATGAAGTCCAAGTTGGCCCAGATATGAAAGCAAGTAACGAGCTATGAACCAGGCTAAACGGGTAGGAGCCATCAATCAGAGACAGAGCATGAAACGTGTTTTAAGCTAAACATTTCTTCGCATTTTTGTAGATGTTTAAATATCATTTATTAAAAATACTGAGGAACTTTTACTTTGTGCCATGCATACATGAGAGATCACTAGGACATTTACTGTTGTATTGTAGCGTTAAATAAATAATTAGAGAATCAGCAGAAAGCCATATTCAAGTTTTGTGAGGTTTTCTTTCGCTTTATCTAATGAGAAAATTCTTATAAAAGGCAGGTATAACTAAAGACGCCGCCTCTGTCTGTGTGTGTGGCAACATCTCAAATAGATGGACTACAGGTCTAGATTGGCTAACCCTAATGTTCAGGCCAGCTGTGGATACTTGGAATAACACACAGATCACAGTCCACTTGGATGTGGCTCTTTATAATAATCAGAAATCAGATGAGATTAATGAGAAGTCTGTTTAAACAAATGATCTTCATACATTTAAGTGGTATTGACATTTATATGGCTCATTTCAAGACTCCTTGATATAAACAATACAGAAGCCAATTGAACTCCATTCTTTGCACTCCGCTGCTAACCGGTGCATTCACTGACCTGGCTGAATGACTGCAAGGAATGGATGGTTACCTTTTTAGACTCGTGCCAGTTTCTCTTCATTACAGGAGGATTTAGAAGGGGAACAGTGATACCCTGTGTCCCTGTGGGGCTCTGTGTGTGTCTGTGTGTGCCTACAGTACTGTGCAAAAGTCCAGAGCCACTCCCAACGTCTTTGTATTTTGCCAGAGTTTGTTCTCATTTTTCAAGTGCTCTTGAGCAGCTGTTCTCCATGTGTTTCGAACTTTTTCTTAGGACATTGGCTGCTTTTTCACTTTGATTCAGTCCAGTCGTTGTAGCATTTGCAGAGAAATGGTTTTTTGGTTTTTTTTAGCCACTTAGCACTGCCCTATGAATCATCATAAAAAAACTCACAGGATGAAGCAGTGTTGTCTACACATAACAGATAACTTAGCAACAACCCATTTTCAAATGGTATCTTTAGGCACTTTGTTACCAGCGGCCTGTCACAACAACATATAACACATGTCCTCATTTATTAAGTTGAATCTACATAAAATGCCAACGATAACAAATGACCAAGCGCAAACACTGTGCTGCTGTACTGAAGAAGAATTTTTCTGACAACTTTTTACTTTTACTTCCTACATTTTTAAACAAATATCTGGACTTTCTAAGTAAAGAGAGTCTGTACTTTGCCAACTCTGCACAATTTAGCAGACATAAAATAGTGTTTTATGTCTGTCAAAATAGTATTTTCAGGGTGTCCTTACAAAAACTAAGGAAACCAGAGAAGTGGAAGACAGAACAGGAGGTAGAAGGCCTAAAAAATTATCTATGGCAGATAGTAGCAGAAGTATCTTAGGTGTAGGGATGGGTACCGGTGTCCGGTGCCATGACATAAACGGTAGTAACCAGACCGAAAAGCAGTGCACATTTCGGTGCTTTATTTCGGTGCTTTTTTTTCCTGAGCTGTGATACACTTCTAGCCAATCATTTTACGTTTCCGAGGATAGTAGGCGGGTCCAGGTACGTACGTTCTTTTAGAGCAGAGCTAAAATGTCCAAGGCGAAGCGGTCAAAAGTCTGGCTGTACTTCACAGCAAAATATGCAAACTCAGCAGCCTGCAACAAGTGCTTTAAGCTGATACTGTGATACTGTCAAAGGAGGCAACACCTCAAATCCGATGAAACACCTGGCGACGCATAGCGTTTTTTTAAAAGCCGAGAAATGCTCCGTATTTGATAGCTTGCTGTGAGACCTCACATCGAGCACATCTACTGCGGGTGGGTTGCCTGTTATCAGACCCGGAGTTAGCAACATCCCCAAAAACCCGAAGAGGAGAGTCCTGGCCCCTAGCCCTGTCAGTGTAGCAGAAATGATGACGGATGATGATGCAACAGCAGCCATTCTTCTCTGTGTGAGTAGCTTAATGTTGTTCGTGTGTAATTTACGTTGAGTAGGCTAACCATGTTATTACATTAATGCATGTAAGGTGAACTAGCAAACATCATCATAGCTACATGCGGCTGTCTTCTTGTTTGATGGCAGATGCTCCCTTCACCCTGGCCAAAAAGGCTAAAATGACCAAAGAAAAAGAGGGAAACAGGTAAACATGAGAGGTTTTGGACAAAGTTTGTGTTTTTTCCATTATTTAAGCACTGCTTCCAGCCAAGAGTGATGCCATATATGCCCCATAGCTGCAGAAAAGGCTAACATTGTTATCTTTTTACAAAAAACCAGCTGAACATGAGAGGTTTTTGGACCAATTATGTGTTCTCCATTCTTTAAGCACCGGTTTGAGCACCGGCACCGTTTCAAAAGTACCGATTTGGCACCGGTATCGGATAAAACCTAAACGATACCCATCCCTACTTAAGTGTCCATAAGATATTAAGATACTGTTAAATGTCTTTATGTCCTTAAGAAATAGGGGGAAAAATCCAACAAAGACCACCAGAATTGGACTCAGTGGCAGGGTGGCTGTGAGGAAAAAGGGAGAAAAGTCTGAAGTACAGCAAATTAGACAAGAACTGGACTGAAAATCAGTAGCAGCAAGTCTGATGAATCCAGATTTAAAATTCTTGGTTCAAATCCTCATCGATATCTTATCGAAACTGATAGAATTATGAATGCAGAAAAGTACCATCAGATTTTGATCCACCATACGATACCAGCTGGAAAACATCTGATATCTAACAGCTTCATTTTCCAGCACAACAGTGATCCCAAATGCACTGCCAATGCAGTAAAAGCATATCTTTATATGATTGTAGGGTCTTTATGTTCCAATATAAAGGACCTTGAGGTGACTATTGGCACTATATGAATTGAATTGAGTTGAAAACACACAATGGCACTTATCAGTCATGGATCGGCCTCCCAGAGTCTGGACCTCAACATTACTGTAGCATGCACATTAATCTCATGTCGACAGAGAACATAAATGCAGCCAACATCCAGAGAAGAGCTTTGAATGTCCTTCAAGGAGCCTGGAGAAATATTCCTGAAGACTGCTTAAAGAAATATTCAGACTGTGTTGAAGAGTAAAGGTGGTCATACATACTTTCAGTCCTGTTTGAATTGTATGGACTCTGTTTTTTGTCTTTCAGTCTGTATTTTGATGAATATTTGCACATGATTCAATAAATCGCTGCACCTGTGTCACATTCCCCTGACAAAATATAAAGAAGTGAGGTGTATAACAAGACTTTTGGACTACACCATACTGTGTATATATATACATGTTTCTTCTATGCATGGCTGTCTTGATCAGACTTGGACAGATGTTATAGTTTTTGTTTTCTAACAGTCCTTTTAGAAAGAGTATATTACGTTGAATAAAAGTACATTTTTTAAATAAAATGATTGACACCAAGCCCTGCGGCAGATTGGCGACCTGTCCAGGGGGAGCTCTGCTTCTCGCCCTAAGACAGCTGGGATAGGCTCCAGCACCCTTGAGATCCTGAAAAGGATAAGCGGAAGAGGATGGATGGATGGATGATAGACACCACCTTTACAGATTTTTTGCACCTTGCATTTATTTCAGATAATTTAGTTTGTTGTCAAAGCGGTATTACATCTACCTGATGAGTACAAATCTGCCCAAATGACTCTTTTGTATTTAAACAGTTCAGTTAACCCAGCACATTATTATGGCACCTGGCTCTGATTAAAACACACAACAGATAAAAATCAGAACATGTACATTACTGATTACTGAGGACACTTGTTTGTTAAATTTAAAACAACCGAGTCAGAGAGAGAAGTGGCAAAGGAACCAAGGGTATCAGCTAATAGGCCCCGGGGGATATGGTTGCCAAACACCACAATTTCCGTTTTCTTTTCATTCAGGATAAGGGAGTTGCCCGAAAGCCATTCTCTGACTTCTCCCATGCACTCGAGGAAGCAGTGCAACGAC